CTTCTTCTTCTTCTTCTTCTTCTTCTTCTTCTTCTTCTTCTTCTTCTCCTCCTCCTCCTCCTCCTCCTCCTCCTCCTCCTCCTCCTCCTTCTTCTTCCTCATCTACCTACCTATCTTCTTCATCTACCAGCCTACCTACCTTCTTCATCATCTATTTATCTACAAATCAATCTTCTTTTTCATCTATCTATCTTCTTCATTATCTATCATCTATCTTCATCATCTATTATCTCTCTCTTTCTATCATCTGTCTGTCTGCCTGTCAATCTTTATCACCATCAGCATCCTTCTTTCTCCCTCCCTCCCTGAATATCATCTATCTTCTTCATCATATTTATCATCTGTCTCACTCTATATATATATATATCGTTTATAATCTATTATATCTCTCTTTCTATCAATCTATCTTCACCTTCATCACCATCATCATATCTATCTATCTATCTATCTATCTATCTATCTATCCCTCTCTATCATCTATCCATCATCATCATCTCTATCTCTATCTATCTATCCATTTGTCCATTTGTCCATCCAACCATCCATCCATCCATCCATCACTAAAAGCAAAAGTATTCCACCCTCCCGATGCCAGACCAAACATGGGTTCATGTCCCACCCTTGGCCAAAACTAACCAAGCACTTGAAGACTTGGAGCATTTGTGAATGCAGTCACAGAGACATGGAGAACCTCAATGAAACCCGTCTTAAAAGCCATACCTTCCTCCAAACCTGCCTTGCCAATCCACAAAGTCTGCTTTCCACCAGGAACACTGCCAAAGGCAGCCTCTCACATGCTCTTCTGAAGAATGTAAACACTCAATTTGTCTTTATTTACTCTCCCAACCCTTCTCCCAATCCTTCCTTCCTATCCTTGAAGAATCGGAGAATTCACCCACCCACCCATCCTCCTTTCCTTTCTCTCTCAAAGTTTAAAATAGATCTTTCCTTTTAAATAGATTCCACAATCATAAAGGCTAAGAGGAAGGGAGGGAGAGGATGCCCATTTGTGCTGAATGTAAAGTGATGCAAATATCACAATAAAATTAGCGAGTGTGCTTTTTTACTCTATTGGAATAACTGTTACGACATATCCTAGGCAGAATTAGGAGACATCTGCAGAGACACAATCAACACACCATCATCTGATTTCTATTCTCCGAGAATCAGAAGTCCAATCATCGTCATCATCATCAATCATCATCATCATCATCTTAGTTACAGCCATTTTTTCCTCCTGCCTTCGTTCTATTCTATTTCACTTCAAGAGTTTGCAGTAGGTTTCTTAAAGAGCAGATCAGGCTCATATCCCCAAAGGGAATGGCATACTTATATCAAAGACCCAATAAAGGCTAACTCCCTTTTCCATTCTGCCTTGTTAAACTGGGATAATTTTATTCCAGTCTTCCCTAGAACATCTCTCTCATGGAAAATGAGCCTCAGGGAAAGAGAACGCCAAAGAACCCTGAAAGCATTTTACTTTAATAAAATTCAAGTAAAGAAGATTTTATCTACTCTTCTTCACCCTTTCTGGGTATAAAATATAAGCCCATCTTCTTTTAACGCCAAACAGTTAGCATTCATTGGTGTAGCCATAGATGTACTATGAGCAAGGCAATAGAAATTCTCTCTGTCTGTTTCTCTGTCATATCTATCTATCTATCTATCTATCTATCTATCTATCTATCTATCTATCTATCTATC